TGCAGTTCCCAGCGGCCTGGCTCACCATGTTCGATGCCGTGCTCATCCTGGTGCTCATCCCGCTCAAGGATAAGCTGGTGGACCCCATCCTGAAGAGGCACGGCCTGCTGCCGTCCTCCCTGAAGAGGATCGCTGTGGGCATGTTCTTCGTGATGTGCTCCGCCTTCGCTGCAGGTAAGCCCCTCTGTCCCCTGCCGCTGCTCTGCTGAGGTGGTGCAGGTGTGTGCTCTGTAGCATGTGGCCCAGGAGTGTGTGTGCTGGGAAAGTCGGCCACCAAGCGTTTCCGAGGATGGTTCTCCATTTTCTAGTTTTTCACTATGAGAGTTCCAATCTTCTTCCAAGGTGCATTGTTCCTTTCCTTCTAGAACTGAAACCAAACGTGTGCTCTTAGGAGCCGTCCTCTGCCCCTGGTTTGGTCTGGAGCAGCGGCTGCTGTGTGGCTGTGTGCTGCTGAACTGAAGTGCTCTGTGGTTCTCCAGCAGGAGAATCTCCATGCAGGGGTCAGCCTCAGAAGGCCCCAGAATCCTTCCAATTTTTATAGAAAATTTTTGTGCATCTTCCTAGGGAAGAAGACTTTATCAATTATTATAGGCTCAGGTCATGCTTCTGCTCCCAGATGTCAGGAATTCATGTCTACATGTGCAGGTACCAGGGAGGGAGTGCTCTTTTGAAGGGCTCCTTTGCATTTTCTAGTTCTCATTCTGACATGTTGTTTCTCTTTTGCTCATAAAGCTGGCCTATTGCTGACTCCTAAAATGTGCTTTGAAGTTCCTTCTTGATTAGTCTTGAAGGTCATTGAACCATAAAAAAACTTAGTTACATGATAGGGAAGCTGGTGTTACTAAGCCAGCAGTGCACAGCTGCAGCCGTGTTCAGCAGGTGTCAGGAAGTTAGTCCTGAGGCTTAGGAGACCTGTATTCAAGAAGCCAGGACATTTTAGAAGAGTTGCCTTATCTTTGGAGTGAACAGATAATTAAAGTTTGCTCTGTCTGAGTGAGGTTTTTCTCTATAGGTTAGTTTTTCTTCAGAACTGTGATGTAAACAAACAAGAGATATACAGAGTAAATTTCAGCATCACTAACGGGTCATCTGGAGGAGGAGCAGGCTTGTCTGTCAGCTGTCTGTAAGGACCCAGTTCTGGCCTCAGCTCCTTTCTCCCTGGCTGGGGTGTGTCCCCTGGGTGTGGACCTGGCCTGGTGGACCAGCCTATGCAGGCTGGTCTCTTACCTACCGTCACATGGTGCAACCAGCCCTTGCTGTTCCTGGGACTCCCCTGGTGGCCTCTGGACTGGGAAAGCATCCTGAGTCTGAGGCAGAGTCTTCTGAATGCCTTCTCTGGCCGTAGCCTTCATTAGAAGAGATTTAACCACTAATCTGTAGCAAGGTTTTGAAGTTGTTATATAGTCAAGTCACGGTTTTTAGAAATAGATTAATCCATAATCTTTGCCATCTAAGCATGTCCACTGCATCTGTATTGTCCTAGAACATTTTCTGTGTATAATTGAATTGCTTTTGCAGGGCAGAAAGGGACAAGATATTCACGAAGCTCATAGTGTCATTTTTATGTATTATATACTTAGCTATTTTTTCATGTCAGCAATGACGTGTTCAAATTATGCTTTTAGTGTATTCCATTTTTAATGTTATGTCATTTAAAAATGTGTTCCCTTCTATGATGGTTGGTCTGAGGTTATCCACACAGGTGGTGTGCTCACCATACCCATTCATGTCCTTGGGATGAATCATGTGAAGGGGTGAGTGCTGTGTCTAAGATTCTGGTTTATGGCTCCCTTGCCAGTATTGATTGTTTTCTTCTGTTTTTTTTCCTTACCTGAAGGATTAAAAAAGGTTTTATTATTGTTTTAACATATGTTACAAGTCGGGTTTCAGCTCGCTGCTGAGTTTCCAGTGGCATTTCTGGTGGTGGCAAACCAAGAACCTCCATCCCGGGTTCACTGGGGGTTTTTGGCAGGAGTGAGTGCTGGATCATTCTCTGGTGGTGGCGGTGGGGGATGCACGAGAATCTCTCCTTCCTGTCTCACTGGGGCTGCTGTCATTCTGTGCTCACTTCCTGTGGTCAGCACTTGGAGCAGTTCTGGAGCAGGCCATTTGCTGAGAGGGCTGAATCGGCCGCATGTCCTTCTGTGCAGCCTGTCTGCTTCCATTCTGGCCAGAGTCTGTGTGGCTTTGTCGGGTGGAGTGTCTGGACCACGTGTCACTGAGCAGTTTGTAGGTCCCTTCCTGTGGCCTAGAATAGTTGATTGCCATGAGAGCTCTCCTCTGTGTTGTCCCTCAGATATTTGCCTAAAGTATTCATCTGAGCCCGTCTCCTCTCTAAGAGGTCATTTGTTTGGTAACTTTTTAAAAAATCTTTTCTGATTTTATGCAATTTTTTTTTCTCATGATTCACTAATTTTTTTAAAATAGTCTCTACTAAATCATGCATTTTCTTGAGTTTTAGGAAAATGTGTAAGAGATAGAAATAGTCTTTTAAGTAAATCTGTTGCTTCCTTCCTCATTTCCAGACTCGTGTATTTACATACTCTTTTTGTTCATCTTGCCAGACTTGTATGCCTTTTGTATTTCCTTACAAGTGTATCTTGGATTATCAGTTTACCTGTTTGTATGTTTACCTTCGTTTAAGGCACTGACATCGTTTTATTAGGTTTTAGGTGTAGACAATAGAGGAGAGGCACTGGCAGGATTTCAGAGAGTCAGAGGTGCTCTGATTTGGAGGTGGTTTCTCTGGGCTCTGTGTCTTCTAGTTGAAGTACTTTCCATTGGGTTTGTTTCTGGTATTTTTTTCTCATTTATTAAGTTAAATTCCTTGTTCACTTTTATTTATTTTTTTCTGTTTATTAGTGCAAACATTTTAAGCTAAGAATTTGCCTGTTATTACTGCTTTAATCAGATATTGTATACTTTGATTTGTTATTTTGGTCTCTTATTTTCTGTGAATGTTGAAACTTGGTTTTGATTT